TTCGAGAACGTCCAGCTGTCGACGTCCGTTTCGGCGTAGATTTTTCTTAATTGCTCGTCTATGCTGCTCGCCTCCTCGGCCAGTTTTGCCTCGGCCTCGGAACTGTACTGCCTTTTCGGGGAGTCCATCAGTTTCGATTGAAGCTCCATCAGATTCTGGGAATCCTTCTGCAATTTGTTGGTCAACCTGTCCAGTTCGTGCAATTTCTCCAGGGCAACTTGGTCGATCGAGCTCAATCTGGACAGCTGGGCCAGATCTTGCTCGCTCACGCAAGGCGTGTTCCCACGATAACTCTTGTAATCGGCCGCGCTGAACACCTCGCCCTCGTCTTCGTCCGCTTCGTCCTCTTTCTTCGTCACCGCCTCCTGAATCTCCTCCTTGCTCGGTTTCGCGACTAGTTCGCACTCGAGCTCCTTCTCCTTCGCGGCGACAGNTCGAACATGCTCGACTCCACCTCCTTCTTCCCGTTCACGTCCTCGTCCTCCGCCTCCTCCCATATCATGCCGAGCTGCGACGTGGGTCTTGACGTGTCGCCACAGATCAAGTCCTCCCTGTAAGCGTTGTTCAGACTCCTATAGAACGCCTCGTCTGGAATGTTACTCTCTTCGGCGAGAGTCTCCAGAGTATCCAAGTTCCTCACGTTCCTGTGCATGTCTGTAACTACAGCCGCGGCAGTCGAGCTGTCTTGCGTTAGCCCGTGCATCCTAGCGATCTCCTGCTGCGCCAATTTCTCCCTGATCGCATTCGTTTCCTCTATGCCCATCGTGGCGCCTATGCTCTTCGCGATCGCGTCCAACTCGCCCACCGTGCTCTGTTGATTGGCCAACGTCTCTTCGACCGCCACGTTGCTCGTCGTCTCGTGGCTCCCTCCGCTCGCGTAGAACTCGATCAATTGGCTGATCACCGTCTGTTGCTCGTAAAGGAGGCCCTCCAGCTTCTCCAATCTCTCCCACATCTTGATGTACTCCTGGCTGAGCAGATCCAACGCCCTCCACGCGTACCTCAACTCGTTCTCCAACGTGTTCAACCTCGTCCCCAGCCTCTCCATGTAGTCCCCTATTATGTAATCGATGTTTCCATCCGCCGTGGTGGAGGCGTAAGCCGGCACGGCCGGCGAGTGTGCCCTAGGGCTGGTTGGGGCTGGCCCGCCCAGCTTCGTCGAGTCCATTTTCATCAAGTTCCTCTCTCCTTAAACTTTTGCGTCCCTCGCGCGATATTCCTGTCTACGATCCCTGATACGATTCATGATTCTGGGAAAGAACAAAGGAGCGCGATCACTTCCTCGAGTCGAGAAGGAGAGACGTGGATTCAATCGTGGATTCAACTTTCTTCGACTCGATTGTATCGAAATTAGAGGAACGACTCGATGCACCATGCATGTCGTCGATCTCCATGGTCGATCCTTTTTTTCTCTCTCTTCCTTTCACCTTTGCTCATTCCACTACTCTTCTCTCACAGTTCACAGTTTTCACATACAGGATTCGATTACACTTTGCACGCCCGATCTCGCGTAATATCTCGTCACTGTCCCCCCTGTCCTCCGTCCTCGATCGATTTCTCCCCACTTTTGTTTTCTTTTGTATCACACTAGAGTCGCACGCACTGCGTTTTCGTGCGATCGTTGGTCGCGATCTTTACTTCGAATCGTTCAAGATCGCGCGACACTCTGCGTATGGCGCTTCTTAACCAGTCTCGTGCGTTCATGCCGCTGCCTCTATCTGCAAAACAGGAGCAAACAGGGTTGCCGTGGCTTAGTACGAGACGCGCTCGTACCGAGCCACCGCTGACACAGTTTCCATGGTGCTTAAATTTATAATTCATCGGTTGAAAGGTGTGTGTCAATGATCGAACTTAAGAACTTCGTCAGAAAGATCAACGAGGCTATTTGCTTTATTTTCTTTGGAACTGAATCAACATATACACTTGATTCAGATTTTTTTTCATTTGATACGATTATTGAAATCAACAAGAGATTAAGAAATAGAAAAAGAAGAGGAGAAAGAAACGATTAACGATAAATAGAGAGATTTTCTTTATTTAATAGTTTCAAAGGATCAAAGGAATGAATGGTCGTCGAAAGAAAGTAGATACGAGTAGATGTGTGGATGAAAAATATAGAAAGGTACGAAACTTTGTCAGATTGCCAGAACAGAAATCTTCTTCTCCATTGATTCACAGAAAACAAAAATGTTTGAATAAATTCGATTGAGATATTTCACAAATTCAATCACCCAGGTTAATTCACGTATCATTCTCGATAAAATATACTTGGTAGTGTAGTATCTGTTCTATCATTCGCTTAATGGAAATTCATTTTTAAATTATTTATATTATTTATTCGTCATTTCGTTATTTAAATATTGATGAGACTCAGAATAATCAGGATGGAGAGATCTTTCTTAGGCGGAAGAAAATTGTAAGTTATTTAAAGAGTGATCAAGAATGTGCATCGAACGCTTCGTGCATAAAATCAAAGTGTAGGTTGTCGAGCATCCATGCGAAAAATGCACGCAGAATAATTGCAGAATAATTGCTATTGCTCGGAGCTCGTATTTTCATTAGTATCGATTCCATTTCGAGGTTACGTTCGAATGCCTCTGATTGTTTCAAAAATAAAGGAATTGAAACGATACGGAATGAGCAATGGATAAGGATAAGTATTTTTCATCCTTGTGAAACTCGAGAAAAAATAATACTTTTTGAGAATTTTTTTTCCTCTATGCTATATTAGAATCGAGATTATTCTGATAATTTTGTGAATATTGAATTCCTTCATTTATTCATTAATTTTTTACGTACATAAATGTACGAAATTTCGATTACGAGAATTGTGAAATTCGAGAAAGAGTAAGTTTTTTTCCGAGTTTTTTTTCCAGTTATATAGAGAATCGACATGAGAATATTTTTGTAAACAATGGTTTTATTTATTTGTTTATTTTTTCAGTTTTTTTAAAGAGTAACTTTAACATTTAATGATTCGAAGTTTGATAAATGAATTGCGATTGTTTGGAACATCGTAGAATTATTTATTATGATTAATTAATCATATTTATCTTCGTGTTAGTAGATGTTAGTGGACACGACACTCGACATGATTTCCAAACGAGACGAAGTATGATTTAAACAAGCGATGGGTTGAATGTGTACAATTCTCGAGTTACGTCGTATGTGGAATTGTTATTGAATTCTATTTAATTCCCAACTATGTACTTTTATCAACGTATATATTTTGTTTTCTCTTGATTGTTTGCTGGATGTAAATAGAGTATATACGAGTTTATGGGCGTGTCTTGTTTTCGGATCGAGGAGAAAGAAATTTTCGAATGATGAATTGCTTGAAAATATGAGGGAATGGAAAATCATTTTTCAAAATCGATATTTTTTCCAATAATTTTTCACATAATTTGAATAAAATATTTAAACAACAAACGCAATATTTAAAATCGAAATAATTATATCACATTCTTATAAAATTCTTTTCATTTCTTTTATCTAAACACGATAATCATTTTTTCCCGCGATACGGTTAAAATGAATGAAATTAAAACAATTTATTACACGAAAATTTATCTTTCATCTTCATCTTTTATCTTTCATCTTCGCTTCAAATAAAATATTCGAGCGATACTACTTACACGACGAAGAATTTAAACAGTTCAGTGGAAACAAGATTCGCGTGTGTATTTCGAAATCTATCTATCTTCTAAATTACTTCAACAATCTCTCTGTTCATTACAAACCATGTGTTCTAATCAAGAACAATGGAACTTCGCAGTGAAACTCGGTTTTATGTCACGTAAATCGATCGATCTTGTATAAACTTTAAAACTCTTTACGCTTTATAATTATTTATCTTATGTATAAACGAATAATAATAAACAATTTACGAATGAAATACAAAAGAATAATCATTCTGTTGTATAATTTTAAAATATTATTATATCAATGTTAAAAGTTCATTTTAATTATTGAAGTTTTTATAAGAATAATTTTAGAAAAAATGAAACGAATAAATAATATTTTTTTATATATACAGCAACAAAAATAATATCAATAATGAAAATTATAATTGATAATAATATATCAAATTATCCATCACATAAATAACAAAACTTTTGAAAGTATATACTAAAAAAAATTAACTTAATATTCGAATTAAAAAATTTATCTAATAATTATCTATTAATCATCAAAACTATCTATGATTACTTTTCCAAGTTGCCACCAACTTTTATACAAAATCAAATTTTTTCACGATTAAAGAGAAACGAAGTTCAAACATTGGGCATCGATAGATATTAAACACACACAAGATCTACAATTATATTGGACACAGCTGTAAACGACCACAAATGGTTTAGATAATACACGGAAGGAAGACGGATCGAAACGACACGAAGTCACTACGAAGCCGGAAGCGGCGGTGCATGCGATACATAGAGCGATTTCCTGGCCTATCATCGTTGAAACGCGAATTAAACCGAGGCGAGCATGCGATTTTCCGACCTCTTCCGCTTCCTTTCTTTCGCCCAACTCCCGGAAGAAACACGCCTTTTACGGCCGCTATAAAATTACGCTCAACCATATTATCGCTCACCCAGGCCAAGAAACACACCTTCTTCACCGACGATATTGTGGCTCTGTGAAATGAATCTGTACGCATCAATTTATACCTCTATGATATAAGATTTAATTATTTTGGAATTTCGTGTGGTTTTGGCGCGACGCTGGGAATTCGTGGAGCGACGACTTGTTCGTTAAATCCAGTATTTGGGTCATGGTGTCTCGTGTGACAATTAATAATTTTTCATGGTCAATTTTATTTATAATTATTATAATATATATTGTATTATATATTATTTAATTACAATATTTGTTTAAGATTCGAAAGGAAGTTAATCACGAAATATTGTGTTACTCGAAATTCCGATATTTAAAATATTTGAATATTGTAATATTATTATTATATTAATGTTCTATAATAATTGTTAGCATTGTGTTTATAGCTGTATTATTTAATTGAATAATTCTCAACTTTTTTATCAATTATAAATCATTCATTTAATTAAAATCACACAATTCTTTCACCTCTTTGCTCTCCTGCATACTTTCTTTTCGCTTCGACTCTTCACACATTTCTAAATACAATAACACACTTTTTTATTTGCACACTTGTCCCTTAACAGATGAACAACATATATCCGAATTCATATATCGCCAATATTTGCATTGCAAATATTGAAAAATCGATAACCAAAGTATAAATATTACAAATATTATGCAATAGCTGTCACGAATAAACGTAGAACTGTGAATCTACGACGAGGGAAATTTCGATGATATTCTCCTCGTGGCACGTTCGACTGATGATTACGCGCGCGCGCGCGTGTGTACGTGTATATGTGTGGATATCGATGTGTCGTACGACGAATCGATAGCATTCCTCGATGTCATTACGACAAGTGTTCCGTTGCTAAACGCGATTCGATCGATCAACGGGACATTCTATGAAGAAACCACAATGCTGGAACTTGAATTGAACGAGAAAAGAAAAGAAAAATAAATAAATAAATAAATAAAAAAAAAGGAAAAGAAAGAATTGTAAACGCTATTCGTTGTTAACCCACATTCTTTGAAGATAGTATCGATTAATTAATGCTTAATTAGAGTTATAAGAAAATATATATTGTATATATATATATAAATAAAAGTGTAAATAAAAGAATGAACTTTCAGAAGATAATAATTTTCAAGCTCTGTTAATTTGATTATTCTTCTATCGAGAAATTTCTTTCTGAGAATCGAGTTGATAAAGTTGAATTGATTATTGAGTAAATATGAATATAACGCGAATGTATCTTTTAATATCAATTTTTAAATATACTAAAGATTCTCGTATATATTAATGTATTTTTAAGTTTAAAATATTGGCAATATTAAAATTTAAATTAAATCGTCATTTTCTCTTCATAATATATATTTTACGAAAATTTTCAACAAACGAATTCAAACCAAATTTGAAAAATTAAATTCGAAGTTTAAATAGAATAAATTATTTCTAATCAATTAATTTATTCCTGACACTAACGATTTCTTCATATATTATTTCCCATCATTTGGAAATTTCCACGAATAATCCAAATTTGACAAGAAAAAACTGAGGACGCGTGAAAAAATCGAGATGTTTTGATATTATCGTTCAAGGAAACGCGTCCCCATTTTCGAAAAAACAACATAAATATCTAGATCGCAATCCGCATCAATATCTGCTTAAACGTTTCAATCTATATAAATGGCAGGTTCTTTTTTTGTTACCAGGCTTTTATCGCGTCCATTCGAATTCCAGGAAATGTGCTCTCACATTTCCTTATTTTTCTGGATCTTAAATTATTAGTTTTTTTTTTCCTTTTAATAAAAATCTTTCATGTTTGGCTTAAATCGTTCTATCGATCATCGTATGAAATAATACGAGATATAATCGTATAATTTCTTCTTTGACCTGGAAAGTTTTAAAAGTTAGTTCGAAAGAATTTCGGAGAATTTTAAATAAAATGCGATGCATCCAAAGTTTCATAGATCATACTTTTTATTTTTCTCGAGGTTGCGATTATTATCGTATAATTTTATTATCTCAATTCATATTATAATTATTTTATTCAATATCTAAGAATTTAAAACTTTAACTGATAATTAAAAATAATTACAATATGATTAATAA